ACTATTTTCTGTCAAAAGATGTATAAAAAACTGAATAAAATGTCTGAAGTTCCTTCAAGGACTTAAAAGATATTTTGTGAATACTTCTTAACATGAATATACAGCTTTTCATCTAACTTGTTTCCTTTTCCATTAAAAAGGAAACATAGACACAAACTTAAACTACTTGATTATGCTCACATCTCAAATTTGGCTTTCATATATAAAAGGCTGATGTTCATTTACACTTACTTCTTTAAAACAAGACAATGAAAAGGTTAAATGAGGTTAAGCAAAGTGCTACATCTATTATCATTTGTAGAACAGAGACATAACCCACAAAAATGAATATTGAGACAATATAGTTTTATCTTGTGGAAACATGCATTTAAAAGAAAAAGAAATAGGAAATGTTAAAAAAAAAAAAAAAAAAAAGACAACAGGAGTTGCCTCGTTTGTGGTAGGAAAAAAGCACAAGTATATTAACAGCGCTCACCCTACCTTAACATTAAAGCATTCTAGAATAATTTTTTTTTAACAAACAAAGCCTATACAACCTCCTGACATTGCTTCAACATTTTCTGAAGAATGTTTCTCTTCCCAGGAAAACAGACTAAGACTTATACTTAGCTCATGAATACAGGTCAAAATGGGAAATTAAATACCAAATGAAAACTGAGACATCAAGAAAAGGTTTCAGATAAAGCTTTGGCTGAATTTGAAGCAACTTTTCGAGGAAAAAAAGACTCAACCACCAAGACTAAAATTTCTTAGAATGATTATATCCCTTTACCTAGAATCCTCCAGAAATTCAGATCAGATGGCATGTTTTGAACATCCAAATATAAGTTCTAGAGTGTCTAAAATCGTGTAGTAGCAGCAGAAAAAGTAGCAATTGTGTAGTAGCAGAAGAAAAATAGCAATCAAAACATTTGACAATTAAATTTTATAATTTTGTAACTACCATTAAGAAGGTAACAATCTAACCAAACTTTCTAACTGAAATACCTAAATAAGCTACTCAAACAGATGATACTCAACAAACATAAGTATTTCAAAGTTATACAAAGTATTAACATGAGGCTAGCATCTTCAGATTAAGATCAATTCTCCATTTAGGTTGCTTGTAACAAAGAAATGCTGAGCTTACTGTGTTAATGATTTCTACTAAAAACAGAATTCCACACTGGATCTACCAGTACATGCAAGCTTATTAGCTTCACCATGGCAAGTTCTATGTTAATATAAAATAATCGAGAATGTCAAAATTAAATATTTAAACACGTATCTCTCACAATTTGAAAGAGTTTACATTTAGATATAAGCATTACCAGAAACGACAATTACATTTTGGTAGTCCTCCTTCACCCTTCTGATCCCTCTTGGAAAAGGTCACTTTAAGAGTTCTATAATTTAGCATTCAAAACATTAATTGGTATCTCTGGAAACATAATGAGATATCTAGGTATGTGATGGATGGACCATTCAGATAGGCAAAAAACAGTTTTATTTTTCTCCTAATTACCTAATAAAACATTCTCCAAAGCCAAGACCTTCCATTTAATAGACAGTTATTTTTCATGGGGTACAATTGAGAATTTGCCCTATCTAAAAGTTATAAATTGCCCCATACATCTCATATGTTGCTTTCAACACTAGTTGACTACCACCCCCTGGAAGATTTACACTGGTAAGAAGTGACAGACAAGAAACAAATTAACAACCTGATGAAATACATCATATTATTTTTAAAAAGATAATTTTCAGTCAAGTTAAGGCTTATCTGCTAATTTATCTTGTTAAAAAGGAAAAATTCACCCAAGGTATAATTTTAAATGTTGGTCATATTCTAAACACCAAATCTATAAATAGATTCACTAATAATTTGGTGGCATACTACCTTCATTTTTAACATTTCCAGTTGCTGTTTTATATTTCGGAAACTGTTTTCAGACAAAGGAAAAAGGTTTTTTGTAATATGTTTGCACCACCATGCAGTCTGCCTAATAAAATAAAAATGCCAACATCTATCTTTAGGAAGATACAGAAACTCCCAAGATATGCTATATGCAGCAAAGTTTTCATAGAGGGAAAACAGGTCAAATAAACAAAAACTAAGTACTGGATGGTGATGTGTTTAACTAAAACAGCTTATTATGTTACACAACTTTATCTTCATATAACAGAATGCAATCATAAAACTGACTATACTGATTTGGATCTACCATAATTCAAAACACATTCCACAAATCATGCAATAACTACATACATATAAGTTCTAATAAGTTTTTAAGCAGCTCTTCAAACATGAGAACTATGACACGTAGCATGTATTATGTAAATATACATAATGTGAACCTGAAATTCCATTTAAACTAGGTATTTCGACCTCCTTTGTAACTTTTTCTCCAACCACTAACAGTCAGAAGCCAAGCAGAATTTCACCTGTAGCCCTAATACCATTCATTCTAAGGTGGGAGCAATAATAGTAAAACGGAGGCTGAGGCGGGCGGATCACGAGGTCAGGAGATGGAGACCAACCTGGCTAAGACAGTGATACCCTGTCCCTACTAAAAATACAAAAAATTTAGCCAGGCGTGGTGGCATGCGCCTGTAGTTCCAGCTACTCAGGAGGCTGAGGCATGACACTCGCTTGAACCGGGAGGTGGAGGTTGTAGTGAGCCAAGATCACACCACTGCCCTCCAGCCTGGGCGACAAAGCCAGACAGACTCCATCTCAAAAAAAAAAAAAAAGTAGCTGAAAGGAGGAAGCTGAGCAAACTACAAAGATGACAGCCCCTAAATAAATGAGCTGGCTTTAAAAGTAAACAAAACAGCAAACTGCTTTATCAGTTTTGGGGGGATTATTACCCTAATATGGATGAAGCTATATATGGGTAACTTCACATCTGACTTTCCCAAAACTTGATGGCTGTCAACTAGTTATCAAACTTGATAGGTATTTGTTAACTAGCACGTACAAGGATTTGGAAAATATTACAGTTAAAAACGAAGGTTCATCGGCCAGGTGTGGTGGCTCACGCCTGTAATCCCAGCACTTTGGGAGGCCGAGGCGGGTGGATTACGAGGTCAAGAGATCCAGACCATCCTGGTCAACATGGTGAAACCCCGTCTCTACTAAAAATACAAAAAATTAGCTGGGCATGGTAGTGCGTGCCTGTAGTCCCAGCTACTCGGGAGGCTGAGGCAGGAGAATTGTCTGAACCCAGGAGGTGGAGGTTGTGGTGAGCTGAGATCGAGCCATTGCTCTCCAGCCTGGGTAACAAGAGCAAAACTCCATCTCAAAAAAAAAAAAAAAAAAAAAAGAAGGTTTATCAAATAGTCTTCTCTGGCAATTAATAAACCAATAAGAATTCTAAGCATATGCTGAAGGGGGCGGGGCTTGCACAGAACCAAAAGAAATATGAGACATAGTCCCTATCTTTCAAGGGCCTCTCAATTCATTAGAGTGCAAGAATAAATACACATGAAGGAGTCAGAGACGAATTAATTGCTAACCTGAGTGGTACAGACTAAGTGCAAGAGCTGTCCTGAGAAGTTTAAATATCTAAAGGTTGGAATAATATTACTTTTAATAGCTATCACTTGAGCACTTACTATAAGCCAAGTGCTTTACAGGCATTATTTAGTCTTCACAACAATCCTTTGAGTAGAGTACTTATTACTCCCAATTTACTCAAGGGGAAACAGTCCAAGTGGTTAAGGAACTTACCCAAGGTCACTCAGCTAGTTAAGTGGCTAAGACAGCCGCTTATTTAGGCAATTCTAGAGCTCACACTGTTAAGACTTCATAAAGCAGTGCGGGGGGTGCAGGGGAGGAAGCCACAGAGACTGGCAATATTACAAGCGCGGGATCCGGCAACGCGTTCCTCGTGTTTCGTTCCAAGTTACAAAGATTTGAATCTTTAGCAAGAGCCACAGTAAACTGGCTACCAGAAATGGCGGGGGGTGGGCAAGGACGACAAAAATGGCTAAGAGTTCATTTCATCCAGGGTTGAGCTTTAACATCTAAAAACGATCCAGAGAAGGAAATTAGACGCTGTTATTAATATCTGTTCTTAAATCTGTGGTTTGCTTTGCTGATTAAACGGCTTTTTCCAGGGGGAGGAAAGGAGGAAGCGCTCTAATTTGTGGGCGAGAAGACTAGGGGTATGGCAAGTTACTGTTTCTGGTGTTACCGGGGGAAAGTTTCACGACTAAATGAAACACGTTATCCTAGGTACTTGAGAAGCTTGGATAGTTGCCAGAATTAGTTGCAGTCCCTGGATAAAATGGGATTTAGGGAACATTTAATAACGAAAGTTGAATCCAAGCCGAAAATAGCTCTAAGGTGAAAAGACAGAGCAAAGAAATGCCGGTAGTTCTTTGGGGAAAGCGGCCATCCCTGTCACACTTCCCCACGGCGCCACACGAAGCTGGGACAGTCGGGACACCGCTCCCCGGGAGGACGAGAGGTGCCAAACTGGGTGCTTCGCGGCGCCCCAGGCTTCGCGGCAGCGGGCGAAGAAGAGAGGAGGGAGTCCGGGACGGTTCGCCCTCCTCGGACGTCAGGCAGAGGAGGCGCCAAGCTCTAAACTACAGACGATCGGGTGCAGAGTGAAGAAATGGGACAGAGAGAAATGGAAAGTCCGAATCGCCCCGGCGCAGCCCGATAAGGATAAAGAAGCCAAGTGAGCTCAAGCGAAGAGGGGAACACAAAAAGAGACCAAGAGGGAGCGCGGAGACCCGCAGGGGCGAACAGGAGTTCTACTAAGAGGCTAAAGGAAGCCAAGCTACCGCAGGCAGCGGCGATTTTTGGGAGGCCAGGGAAGGAAGGAGGTCCGCGGCGGTTAACCGCATCTCTCCCTGAGTTCGAAACTCCTAGCTGACCATCCACGCCCGACGCCCGGGTGGGGGAGGGGGTACATCTTCCCCCCCCCCAACCTCCCACCACAGGTGAGAGTGAAGCTGACGCCCTGGCCCGGCCGGGCAGTGCGCCTGCCTCCCGCCCGAACACTCACAATTCGCCTCTCCCTGATTTCTCCCAGTTCTTTATCCACTCTGCGGGAACCACAACAGCCGCGGCCGCCATCTTCCTCTCACTAGTAAGTAGCAGAGGCCCGGATGTGTAGCACGCGAGCGAAGGGTCAAAGGGGAGCGCCGCCCACGGGGAATGCCGGGAGCTGACAGTTCGTTTTTCGATTTCCCGCCCCACTGTTCTCCCCACCCAGCGGAAACCCGAGGCCCAGCAATCAACGACGCGAAGGAGACTCGTGGGACACTTTACGAAGTTTCAACGCAGGCTGTGCCCTCCGAAGTCCTCGGCCTTATTTCCCATTAGAACAGAAAAATGCCATCCACGGGCGAGCAAGTAGTCCTTATCTTCTTCCGTGATACTTACCCCTGACCACTAATTCACACACGCATTTTTCAAGCACCTGATATGTGCTAGACACTGGGGATAGAGAAATAATATATCACAGTGTTTGGGAAAGACATAAATATAAGCAAATAAATTACATTACGCCCTGCTGACTCCTGAGATGAAGTAATTGCGAAGGGGACAGCCATTGACTACGTGCCAAGCATACACTAATACAAGGGATATGACCTAACCCTGTGAAACAAGGATCCACAAGTTTTGACACGCTCGGCGTTGTCCTGCTGTGATTACCACCTTAGGCTAATCTAGGGAGTGCAAGTACCATGAAAAACAAATTGGCCAGGCACGGTGGTTCATGTCTGTAATCCCAGCAATTTGGGAGGCCGAGGCAAGTGGATCACTGAGATCAGGAGTTCAAGACCAGACTGGCCAACACGGTGAAACCCTGTCAGCGCTGAAAATACAAAAATTTTTTTTAAAATAAAAATACAGAAATTAGCCAGGCTGCCGGGCACGGTGGCTCACGCCTGTAATCCCAGCACTTTGGGAGGCCTGAAGGTCAGACCAGCCTGACCAATATGGTGAAACCCCATCTTTAAAAAAAAGAAAAAGAAAAAGATATTAGCCAGCTGTGGTGGCACGCGCCTGTAATGCCAGTTACTCAGCAGGCTGAGGCAGGGAAATCGCTTGAATTCAGGAGTCGGAGGCTGCACTGAGCCATGATCGAGCCACTGCACTCTAGCCTGGGCGACAGAGTGAAACTCCATCTCAAAAACAAAAAAGATGAATACAGTATTATTCCTTAATCTACAGATATTTCAAAACTGGTCTTTTTTTTTCTTTTCTTTTCTTTTTGTTTTTGAGACAAGGTCTCGCTCTATCGCCCACACTGCAGTGCAGTGCTACGATCATGGTTCATTGCAGCCTCAACTTCCCCGGGGTCAAGCTACCCTCCCACCTTAGCCTCTTGAGTTGCTGGGACTACAGATGCGCATCTCCGTGCTCTGCTAATTTTTTTGTATTTTTCTTTTTTTTTTTTTTTTTTTTTTTTTTTTGAGACGGAGTTTCGCTCCTGTTACCCAGGCTGGAGTACAATGGCACGATCTCGGCTCATCGCAACCTCCGCCTCCTGGGTTCAGGCAATTCTCCTGCCTCAGCCTCCTGAGTAGCTGGGATTACAGGCACGCGCCACCATGCCCAGCTAATTTTTGTATTTTTAGTAGAGACGGGGTTTCACCATGTTGACCAGGATGGTCTCGATCTCTTGACCTCGTGATCCACCCGCCTCGGCCTCCCAAAGTGCTGGGATTACAGGCTTGAGCCACCGCGCCCGGCCAGTCTCAATCTCTTGACCTTGTGATCCACCCACCTCGGCCTCCCAAAGTGCTGGGATTACAGGCGTAAACCACCACGCCCGGCCATTTTTTTGTATTTTTCTAAAGACAGTTTTTCACCACATTGCCCAGGCTGGTCTGAAACTCCTGGCTTCAAGCTATCCATCCACCTCAACCTCCCAAAGTGCTAGGATTAGAGGCATGAGCCACACAATAATGCTTTTTTTTTTTTTTTTTTTTCAAGACAGTCTGAGGAGGTCCTGAGGACAGGGGCTCCCACTCCACCTCGATAAGCTTGTTATAGCAACAAAGTAATACTTTTTTCTGACTGGGAATCAGTTATTATGTCTCCATTAAGGTGAAAGGATTCCTCAGTCTGGCTTCCATTACCTTGACATTTTTGAAGAGTACAAACCAGTAACTTTGTAGCTCGTACCTCAATATGGGTTTGTCTGATGTTTCTTTATAATTAAATTAAGATTATGCAAATTTTTGGCATACTACAAACCATGTTTTTCTTTTCTTTTTGGTAATTTTAAAATACTTTATTGTTAATAAATGCTAACAGTCATCTTAGACCTCAGAGAGTTACTACTTTTTTGCTGAAGGGTCTTGTCTCAATGTGGATGGCTGCTGAAGTTTGGCGTGGCTGTGGCAATTTCTTTTTTATTTATTTTCTTAATTTCATTTCATTTAAAGTTCTGGGATACATATACTACATGTGCAGGACGTGCAGGTTTGTTACATAAGTAAACGTGTGCCATGGTGATGGGAAAACACCCACTGAGGTACTTGGAGTTAACCCCTCTGGAGCGGGTATGGGGGCTCACCCCTATAATCCTACCACTTTGGCAGGCTGAGGCTCAAGAGTTGCTTGAGCTCAAGAGTTAGAGACCAGTCTGGGCAACCGAGTGAGACCCCCATCTCTACAAAAAGTACAAAAAGTATTCCACCAACTACTGAAGTAAATCCCAACTACTGAGTATGTAGTCCCAACTATTGAGGAGGATGAGGTAAAAGTATTGCTTGAGCTGGGGAGGTCGAGGCTGCAGTGAGCTGTGAGCGTGCCACTGCACTTCCACCTGAGCAACAGAGCAAGACCCTGTCTCAAAAAAGAAAGAAGTGCTGGGAACAGTGTCCAACACCTGTAATCCCAGCATTGTGCGAGGCCAAGGCAGGTGGATCACAAGGTCAAGAGTTCGAGACCAGCCTGGCCAACATGGTGAAACCCCTGTCTCTACTAAAAATACAAAAATTAGCCAGACATGTTAGCGCATGCCTGTAATACCAACTTCCCAGGAACGTGAGGCAGGAGAATCGCCTGAACCTGGGAAGCAGAGGTTGTGGTCAGCTGAGATTGCACCACTGCACTCCAGCCTGGGTGAGAGAGAGGCTCAGTCTCAAAAAAAAAAAAAAAAAAAAAAGGAAAGAAAGAAAGAAAAAGAAAAAAGAAAATGCTTCTGGGCATGATAGCTAATGCCTGTAATCCCAGCACTTTGGGACCCTGAAGCAAGAGAATCTCTTGAGGCCAGAGTTCAAGACCAGCCTAAGCAACATCACCAGACCCTGTCTCTACAAAAAAAAAAATTTTAAATTAGCCGTAAGTGGTGGTACACACTTGTGGTCCCAGCTACGCAGGAAGCTGAGGTGGCAGGATCCCATGAGCCCAGGAGTTAGAGGCCGCAGTGAGCCATGATCTGGCCACTGCACTCCAGCCTGTGCAACAGAGCAAGACCCTGTCTCTTTAAAAAGTTAATTAAAAATTTAAAAATTTTAAAATAAAGAGCAACCACAGAAGTATTTAGAGTTAATGGGGCGTTATTTCACAACTTACTCTAAAATATTTTAGAAAAAAAGTAATAGGGTCGAGCATGGTGGCTCACACCTGTAATCCTAGCACTTTGGGAGGCCAGGACGGGCAGATCACCTGAGGTCAGGAGTTCGAGGCAGCCTGGCCAACATGGTGAAACCCCAACTCTACTAAAAATATAAAAATTAGCCGGGTGTGGTGACGCATGCCTGTAATCCCAGCTACTTGGGAGGCTGAGGTACGAGAACTGCTTGAACTCCAGTGGCGGAGGCTGCAATGAGCTGAGATCATGATACTACACTCCAGTCTGGGTGACAGAGCAAGATTCCATCTCAAAAAAAAAGGAAAAAAGTAGGCCGAGGGCAGTGGCTCATGCCTGTAATTCCAGCACTTTGGGAGGTCAAGGCGGGTGGATCACGAGGTCAGGACGTTCAAGATCAGCCTGGCCAAGATGGTGAAACCCCATCTCTACTAAAAATACAAAAATTAGCCAAGCACAGTGGCAGTTGCTTGTAATCCCAGCTACTCGGGAGGCTTAGGCAGGAGAATCACTTGAACCTAGGCGGCAGAGGTTGCAGTGAGCCACGATTGCACCACTGCACTCCAGCCTGGGCAAGAGAGTGAGCCTCCATCTCAAAAAAAAAAAAAAGAAAAGAAAAGAAAAGAGAAAAGTAATAGGATGATTAAGCAAATGTAAACTTTTTTTTTTTTTTTTTTTTTTTTTTTTTTGAGACGGAGTTTCACTCTTGTTACCCAGGCTGGAGTGCAATGGCGTGATCTCGGCTCACCACAACCTCCACCTCCTGGGTTCAGACAATTCTCCTGCCTCAACTCCTGAGTAGCTGGGATTACAGGCACGCGCCACCATGCCCAGCTAATTTTTGTATTTTTAGTAGAGACGGGGTTTCACCATGTTGACCAGGATGGTCTCAATCTCTTGACCTCGTAATCCACCCGCCTCGGCCTCCCAAAGTGCTGGGATTACAGGCTTGAGCCCCCGTGCCCGGCCCAGCAAATGTAAACTATTAACTTTAGGAATCTGGATTGAAGGAGTTCTGTAATACCACCCCAAAATATGCTGTTTTAGTATGCTGATTACTTTAAACTTAGGACTCTTGGGGAAGAGCAAATGCAGGTAGAGGCTTTCTCTGAACTTCCTGTATCTGCCTAAAGACAGAGCCTCCAAAACTAACTCAGTTATCATGAATCTCCTCCCCAGGAATCTCATCGACCAGAGAAAATTAAACAGGAGAGGAGACTGGAAGTCCATGCCATGCCCAGACAGACTTTGTCACAGTCTTTCACCTATTCTTCTGAGGGCCCATTCATCTTTCCCCAAAATCATTCATCCTATCCTAAGTTACCTATATCCTCCCTCCTCTCACCTCCATGAAAAGGGTATATAAGCTTCTAACTCTCACTGGGTTTGGAGGTATTCACTTTTCTTTCATGACATACCTCCATGCATGTAATGAATTGTTATACCTTTTCTCCTGTTAATCTGTCTACTGTCAGTTTATTTCACAGACTCAGTTACTGAAACCTCAGAGTGTAAAGGAAAGGTTTTCCCTCCTTTACAGGATGAAGGACATACAGGGATTCTCTGTTCCACTTGTGCAGTGT